TGCTTGCAGCCTCTGTTACCGCTTTGATGGTGGAGGCAGTAAGCTCCTCTGAAACTGTGGTAAAATTGTAACCGGACTACACGGCACAGCATCCCATAAGACGGTCATCTAAATCAGTTTTATTCTTCCAGTCACTGTCATCAAACCGATTTAGCTTTTTCCTTTGTTTCTATATTGTCTATGGCCAGTAATGAACAGCGCTGTGTTTGGGTTGGCATTTGTTTTTGTAGCTTATAGCGCAACTGGAATGCAAGGGCGTACATAAACTAACATTTCTTGTATAACCCAGTCTCATCTGCAATGTAAATTTTTCTGATTTTATAATTTTGTCTATTGTAAATTCGTGAAATTTGATGTAAGATGATCAGTTGCTGCTGCATTATGACAGTGCCTTTTCCTCCTCCATGGCTGTTTCATGAATTTCTTATTGTTGCTTAAATCTGTTTAGCCACGTAGATTAGGCATTAAATGTTTTACAGTCCCACTGCTTCATGAGATAACTTGTCTTGATGTGCACGCGCGTGACAGACATTCTTTCTGCTCGTTTCTCATCAGATCACTGAAAGAAGAGAGCATTTGCGAATTCCACCAGCCTTCTTTGTTGTCATTGATATCAAGTATAGTTTGGGCCCTAATACAATTGCTGATTCCCTCTGTTTTAATTTTTCAGTGAACTTTAGGTTTTGTTTTATTGTCGGCGCAGTCTTATTCTGTTCCTCTGCATTTCATGAGGATCCACACACGTAACCACTATACTTCTGCAATAAATGAATCACGCTACAATATTTTGCACCTGACAGATGCTGGCAAAACAGACTTTGATGAAGGCCAAGCACATCCTGATCTCTCCTCAGTTCCTTATATGTTCGTCCTGCCTTGAACCACCTACAGAATTGACTGATAACTTATTCAGGTAGTATTTGAGGTTTTCACGGCGGTGAGTTTGAAGATGGCCGTCTTCCGGTTTGTTGCGCCGTGTACTGTGTTAGAAGTTTACTGATGTTTCAGGGCGACTCATCATCTACCAGAATACACAGCACAACAACCCAGAAGACAGCCGTCTTCAAATTAATCAGATGCTGGAAAGAAGCAGAGTATAGTTTATTCATAACCACTTTTACAGACGTGCATAATTTTATAAACCTATAAATCAGTAAGAGAATTGTGCATGGATAAACCACAGCAGATAATTAGATAAGCCGATCATTTGGAGTTTATTGTGTGTACAGTGAAGTTGTTTACAATGCAGATGTGCTGTTGAATGTAGGATAGTCAGTAGCTTTCGTGAGAGTTCCGCTGCGGGCGTGTTGACCTCGTCCGTTGCCTGAGATAGTTTCTTCTGCTCCCATTGTCTTGTAGTTGGTTGTCCTACTTTTTTAATTGTTTTATGCCAGATGTAGGGATTGAACCAGAAACCCTTCGCATTTCAAATTCTTTACCAATCGCTGTTGCACTAGGAACTTAGGTTAGAACAGGCTCCTAATACAATACGTAATGCCATATACTACAGACATTGGACAGATTCCATAATTACAGTGTTAAGAATCACCAGATTGTCACAAAAGAGTGGATAAGTTTTTTAGTATATATATATATATTTTATTTTATTTAGTGTTCTGTCTGACGACAGGTCCATAGGAACAGGATCCTTCCATCCTTTTCTCGGACTGGGACCTGTTCATATACGTTCTTGGCAGATGATCCAGAAGTGGTTTGCCATTGCCTTCTTCTGTGTGTGAATGGAGTAATTGTTGGGATGCTACGAAGAAACCGGGGAAGCCCCTGGAGGAAAACTCCGTGTTGCCTAGAAAAGGACGAATGCAGTGTGATGCTTGGTACACAGATGTATGCAGCCCTGCACAAATTTTTAGCACCTACAATTTTTCATGATAGTGCCATGATTTATCTTCATATTATTCTGATGGTTTTGTATCTTTGCATTTTCGTATTTGCACCACGTATTTCCGATTTAGTCTTACAGGTGTCGGCATCAGCACTGGTGAATGAATTTATGTGTATGTAATTTTCATTTCTGATATATGTATTCTGGATCCTACTTTTTGGAGATGGCTCCTAAATTTATAGGATATTTGTGCAGCCCCGAGTGATTGTATCATAATGTCGTGACTGTTAGTAGACTTGTGTTTTGTAACATTTGGAATATTTCTGCAGATATGAGAAATATTATGTCGATGGGAACATGTGCTACGCCATTGCTGGCTATGCAACAGTATATGAATACTACGCATATCCTGACAACATTCGGCCACGGATCAGTCAGATGCTGGTGCTGCCCCCATTCCAGCGATTTGGTCTTGGGGCTCAGCTCCTGGACAACATCTACAGGCACTACATCAAACAGCTCCGTGTTACGGACATCACAGGTGTGTCTTAATGTTTATGAAGTTCAGTTCACCATCTGATGCTGTTAGAAATACATATTTACTTTCATGTGTGGGCTGCATTAAAAATAATATTTCATTGAATAATTTCGCTAATTTTTATAGAATGTCAGTAGACGGCTTAATGAATTTAATTACATAACAGGATAATCAAAAATTGCTTCTGTAGAAAAGACTGAACGTAATATTAAAAAAAATATTTGTATCTGATATTTACAATATTACAAGATATTGTAAATGCGTCATATTGTGATTCATAATATTAAAAATACATTAAAATTTTTTACCGTCAATCACAATTATAATAATGTTAAAAGATTAAAACATCATTTAATGTTCCTCATTAATGTATTTTTAATTTTATTACAATATTACGTTATAACATGAATTTAGAAATGATGTAATTTGATAAGGTAAGTAATGAATAGCCATTGCTGTGACCTTTCAGATAAATCTGCTATTTTTAGATGGATGCTGTTGTCTGATTAAACTCTTGGCACTGATGTCAATGCCTTTCTATTGCATTATTTTATCCTTATGGAAAGATGAATGGGATAATACTCAGGGTAACAAATTGCATATGAAGTTGTTTGTTCGGGCTTTGCAATCTTCCTTTAGTGTTGTCGGGTAGGAGGAAGTCATATGTGAACTAGAGGCTGCAGCCCAGGTAAGGATCTGAAGACTATTGTAATGAACAGCGGAAGTGCAGGTCTGTATTATGTGGGCATGCAAAACGTCTTGATGTGAGAATGGAACTCGTCCTACACTTGCAGACTGATAAAATGATACCAAGAAGTTATTTAATAAAACATTTGCAGTCAGATTTTGTCACAGAAGTAAAGGGAAAAATGCATTTTAGCCCAATAGGAATGGGAGGTTTAATTTGCTAGTATGCAGATTGATCCAAGATGAATTAAGGCACTGGTACAGAAGTGTGTGGCATTACATCGCTTTCTTGCAGACAGAAGTGTGCGCTGTCAAGGCACGTGCAGTTATGAATGTGAACACGAGCTGTAAAAATATTGAGGATGTGATCAAAGCACGTTACAAAAACCAGAGTGATTCAAAGTTAGTCTAGGACTGACTGAACATAGTAGAGGTCAACAGATACAAATGTCAGGGAATAGTAGAATTGAGGGGAATTTTATTGCCTGTCAGTTGGCAAGGAAATGGTCTGAAGATCATCCTTTCATGGGACCTGAACCAAACTGTGGAATTTTGGAAAGAGTAACTAAGTTGGCTTTTAGGGACTGGAAGGAAAGGAAAACAGGACATTTTTGGAAGTCCACATTGAACAAAAACATCGTAAGGGTTTCCTTCAAGAGCCCTCTGCTAAAAGAGCAAGAGGACTGGTATGAATGAGTAAGAACCAGGCGAAACTATTGATAGGACACTTAAAAGGATGTCTGTTTGAACTGGGATTTTAATCAGCCCAACAGATGAGTGATTCCATAACAATGAAGAAACAACCTCACACGTTCTGTGTGACTGTGAGGCCTTCATTGAGTTAAGATTTTGTCTCTTGGGATCACACTTCATTTAACAAAGTGCATACACAAGGCCCCAGTGAGCGGAATTTGCACTTCACTTAAGATGAAAGTCTGCTAGAGGGCTGAGCACAGAAGGGGATGCGTGGTAGATCATGGACAGTCATGGCGCTTACGCCAGTACTTGCCTACCTCTCTTATTCAGTCGTTCATAATCGTGGTAGACTCGTATAACTGCCAGCTTGTTGGTGGAAGTTACTATATATAAATAGAGAATACCGTTCAAGAATGAGCCGGGATAGCTCAGTCAGTATAGTGACTAGCTACGGGCTGGACGGCCGGGGTTCGATCCCCGACGGGGGCAGGGGATTTTCCCTCTAGCCTCTGCGTCCAGACCGGCTCTGGGGCCCACCCAGCCTCCTCTACAATGGGTACTGGGGTCCTTTCCCGGGGATGCTGACCACTCACCCCCCATCTAGTGCTGAGGTCAAGGAAGAGAGGAGCTATACCTCTACTCCTCCCAAGCGCCTACATGGCGTATAGTGGGACAAACTTTACTTTACTTTTACCGTTCAAGAAAGGCGCCCATTTTAGTCTCAAAATACATTTTCCCGATTACACGAAGAGAAAATTAGGAGGAGTTTCTTTTCAGTGTGTCTTCAAACGTTGCAGTTTGACTTAACGTAATAGTGCGTAGCAACTAATAAAAAAAAAGAGAGAGAAGAAGTTTTGGCAGTTGTTTCACGATTCTTGATTCTGAAGAATGTGCATTTATACAGAGCATTCACTCATAAAATTGAATGCAACTCTCACTTCCCTATAGAAACTGCCTTACTCACCACCAAGCACTACAATATTTTCCCATTATGATTCAAGTATCACTTCATTAAAAACAATAAACTTACCTGAATGATATCAGTTTATGCCGGGAGCCACGAACTGACATTCACATTTAACTTATCAGTGAATGCACTGTGGAATATATAAATAAGAAATGTTACTAAGATTATCTTTTTTGTGAATGAATATAAGATAAACTGCAAAGTATGTTTTAAATATGATGGCATGCCCCAGTAATGAAGTAAATAAGTAGACTCTACTTTTCAGCACAAACAGAATCTTCTCTTCTTTGGCTTTAATTTGATGTTTGATTTATAACAGGTGATTCATACATAATGAAATTACGTAGGTCTTCGGTGGCGTTCTCTAGTTCTTTTGTTACAGCAAAAATACAGAGACAGACAGACTGACTTAAGTGAATTCAAATTTTCAATCAAAAAATTCAGAAAACAGAATGTGTTTTTAAGTCCTCGGAACTGTTCATCATAGAATTCCGAATCATACAAATCAGACATATTGCTATTGCTGAACACACAGGGAATAACCTAAAGGCCAATTTTTTTCCTCAAAACTTTCTTCCTGTAAATTGGGTTTTCTCATCGAAGTGTGTCGTAATGTTGGATAAATACGCTGTACAATTTTTCTTTACAATAAAAATAACAGTGTTATTTTTAAATTGACAGTTGAGGATCCTTCAGATGATTTCCAGCGTCTGCGAGATTTCTTGGATGCACGGAACTGCGGTAAGCTGCCCAGTTTCCAGCCCCGAATGCTGGAGGAAGGCTTCCAGGATGAGATGGTGGCTGAAGCCAAGGCAAAGCTCAAAATCAATAAGGTATTATTCATGTTAGTATGAAAGTATGCTGTCAGTCAATAAGTTGACGCTGTTGTGGGGCCTCTGCCGTTCCTGAATGATGATTGCATGTGTCGCATAATTATGGCTTTTCTCCTGTCACAACATAACAGCTTGGTTCCACAGTGTAATATTATACAAACATAGGCATTTAATGTACACTAGTGTTCTAGTTGTTGTGTTCACAACAGCAATACACATGAGCTGGATAAAACAAAAGAAGATACTCATGAAGTTTTTTTTTTTTTTCCTGATATTAATACTAGAGTGATGTGCAGTAAAAGTACATTGTAACAAGTTCTCATGACACTAGGCAAAAATGTTATGATGAATACTCATTATAAACATCCAAAAATGTGAAAGTTATTTTGAGAATCAGACAACAAATATTTTATTTACTTCAGTTTACACTGCAACAATCTTAATTAAATTTTTTTTATATTCTGTAGTATGAGAGCAGAAATGTAAAAGTTATTTTGAGAATCAGACAGCAAATATTTTATTTAATTCAGTTTACACTGTAACAATCTTAATTAAATTTTTTTATATTCTGTAGTATGAGAGAATATTTGTCTTGCGGTTTGTTCCCGATTAACAAAAGAAAGACGTTTGTGCAAGTTTAATAACTGAAAAAAATCATACTTTAAACGGTTATTGTGCAGCGGGGAACAGTATGGCGGTACTACAGTCACTCATGACAGAGACTGGCGGCTTTTGGCACTTTGAGTTCTGCCTTTATGTGTGTAGGGCTCTTAAAACTTTTATAGCAAGAAATCTAGGAAGTCTCTTGTATTAACCGCTACATCAGGGGGTCAATATGTGTCTCAACTACATGCACAATGTGGAGGAAAGAATCCTGGGTGCCTTCGATGCACCTCGTGCCACAAGTGGCTTACAGGAGGGGAATCAGAAACCAATCCATTATGTAATATCGATCAGTCACACAGAATGACTTTTGAATATTAATAATGTGGAGCTGCAGGGTGAACAGATTAAAAGAGTAAAGGGTGTTTTTAGAGCAAAAAGAACATTTTGTGGTAATTTTAATTGTAAACAAGCTGTATTGCAGTTTGTGCCAAGCAGCTAAATAGGTAGACAGATTGTAATAATTTTCAATTTATAATGGCACTTGGCGAGGACAAGAGGGGAAGGGAAGGGAAGGGTAGGAAGATAAAATAGTTGGAGAAAATAAAACTACAAATTCTAGTATCAGCAGCAGTTAACTTTCCTGAACAGTGCCAATAATTGATATTTGTAATGGAGATGGGTTTTATTTCCTTTGCAGTACGAACTGATTGTTTATGTAATTATAATTTAGATGAGTGTTAATGTATGGAAAATACTGGGACGTGGATGTAGACAGACAGACAGTAGATTATCAGCTACAGGAGATGGGTTTTTTAAGGAGTATAAATGCAAGATCCAAAACCAAGTGAATAAAAGGTAAAAAGTAAAATATAATTTTGTGATAATGGTCTTCGAACACAAAGTAACAAGTAATGGAATAAGATAGTGTGGACGTGTTTTTGAGAATGAACAAGGAGTCAATCCCACAGGAAGGTTTTGAACATGAAAGTAAAATAAAAGTACCCAGGAGGGAGACGAAGACTAGTGAACATGAGAAGAAATCGAGGGTCCTGTGGGCAAGGGGGGGAGATAACCGATGGGAAGTGGGAATGTCTTACGAAGAAGTAATGCACAAATTGTTAATTCTGTGTATAAATAGCTTGCCCGTATATCATCAGAGTCTGTGTAGTCTTGATGTCATTAACATAAATTTTCTGCCCTTGAATTGCCGTGGTTTAAAAGTTAGTGATGTAAGTAAAACAAAGTAGTGTATAATATGCAAGTGTCTGTAAAGCATTGTGTGAACTATATTATGTCTAACAAGTGAACGTGTCCTAAATTTAACCTTTTACTTTGTGTGTATTTTGCAAGGTAGATCTTTTCCCTACCTCTGAAGTTCGAGGTTCTAACGGCAGTGAATGTCGTGTCGTCTAAATTTTTATCTGCGTGTTTTAGTTATGAAACAGGACATCTTCAGTCTTCATTTCTTTTACATGCCGTTTGTGTTACTCTTCAGAAACAAGCACGCCGCGTGTATGAAATACTGAGACTACAAATGACAGATATCCACAACAGTGAGCAGTACCGCCGTTACCGCCTGGATGTTAAGAACCGCCTCAATGTACCATACCAGGTGAGAGAACACGGGCAATACTTTGAATTGCCTGACTCATTTGGTTTGTCCTGTGGACATTCTCTGTGCTGCAACGGCAAGACTAAGTTGTGGGTTGATATTGAGGCTCGTTTTGCTGCTTGAAGAATTTTCTGTTCTGGTGGGAGAGTTTTAAAATTCAGATTCTTACAATGGATGGGTGTCTTGTTTCATGTGTGCTTGGATATACACATCTAATGTACTTGCTGTTTAAACAAGATTTGAAAGCTGTTCTTTATGCCACATTGTGGGCGTTGACATCAGCAGGGAAGCCTGGTAAATAACAAATGTAACAATATATGATGTGAAGCTTTCACGGCGGATTTCATTAATAAAGTCTTCCCGGGCTATCAGCCGATTGATCACCGACTAACACGACTGATAGCCCGGGAAGTCTTTATAAGTGTAACAATGTTATCAGAGCAACACTGGTATCGAAGCTTGTTGTTAAACAGTGTGCTCCGACAGTTTGATAAAAGGCGCAACAGACGAGTGGAAAGCCCGGTCTTGAAGAAGCTTTTTCACTGCTTGCATTCTGCACAGGTAGCCAAGCCTCTGGGTGGAGTCCCGTAGTTGGCGAGTCCAGAGTGGTCTGACTTGTGAGAGTGGTGTCCAATGCTAAATGTGCAATTGGTATTCTGGGTTTCAACACGTTTGTCTTCTACCTTGCTGATTGAGGTGATGTTTTCCTTCAGAACCATGTAACGTCACAGCCCCAAAGACCAGGCTGAGGTGATGTTTTCCTTGAGAACTATGTAACGTCACAGCCCCAAAGACCAGGATTCACACCTTGTTTGGAATCTCCCGTCCCCCAAGTTTTGTTTCAGTTCATAATTTTTATGCTTCCTTACCATAAATTTTTGTCAGCTAATTTAATTCTTATGTGTATCTTGTGTTAGGAGATATTGAGCGCATTAATTGTTTCTTCCACAGAAGGAGCAGCAGGAGTTGAAGAGATACAAAGAGCGGCTTAAGGATGCGACTCTCCAAGCAGCACTGTCATTTGCAGACTCTAGTCAGCGCCTGGAGAGCCTTGAGCGTGAATACCGAGAAGTGGAGGGCCAGTACCAGCAAGTGCTGCAGCGTCTCGCTTCACTCTGACGTGTCGATAACAGTATTGGCAGTCGTTCGATTGCATCATGTGCTCTGTTACTGCAAACTGAAGGATTTTTCCTACCACCACCACCACGCCCATCCCCCTGAGGCTGTGGCCCTCATTCTGTGCTAGAGATGCAATGGTGACTTATTTTTGTATTGTACGACGGAAGAAAAGAGTCTGATTTTTAAGAATGTAAATTGATATTGTAAAGAAATTGTGTGACAGATATTAGCTTTTTTGTTCTTAGAAGTTGATGAGTTTAAGGGATATATACAGTTTGCAACCTAACCTAAAAGCAGTACAGTTTTTGGTATTTGCAATAAGATCAGTTTATCTCTTGTGGTATGTAGTCCTTGTGAAATGCCTCCATCTCCAAATTATGAAGAATTTAAAATCTTACTTTTATTTGCTTCAGTATAATTTGCCATGTACAAGGTTCACTGCACGGTACAAATTACGATAGATTAATTTGTGAATTTCTTTGATTATGTATTTAAGTGCAGAGATAATAAGTGCTCCTTCTGCATTTTTCTCTAGACAATTTGTTTCCTTCAAACAGTAGAACCACACTTTTCTAGGGATTGACGAAAAACTGTAAATTGCAGATGCGATCATAAGCTTAGTTCTTACCTTTACATTAATCCTTTTTTTGGAATGCTCGGCAAATAATTATGGTAAAAGTATTAAGCAGTGCATGAAAATCTTTGCAAAATACATATTCCCAGAAACTGAAAACAAAAACAATCTGCAATTTTCAAAGCGACGATGATGATTTCATTTCATATCATTAATACTGATTTGCATTTTGTTCGATGATGTGATGATTTTTTACGCTCATATTTAGGGCTGACTGTGATAAGGTTCTTCACTGAGAAATATGAGTCTTCCCGTGTATGTCAACATCTGATAATATAATACATTCAGTTTTTGTTCTAAGTAAATGGTTTATCTTTTCTTCTGTGCTGCCAAAATGCCTTATCAGATACACAAAAGTAAATAAAACAACTGCACTTGACGCTAGACTTGGCCAAGAGATTAAATAATAAGAACAACTGAGCTGAGAGCAAATAGGATTTGAGGTTTTCATGGCTGTAGCGCCATGAAGTCTGGTAAAAGATTACTGACGTTTCAGAGGTTCTGCGTCCTTTGTCACAGGATGATACTTCACTTTCATTTTTACACCAAGATGTTATTTTTAATTTCTGAACATTTTTTAAACAGTTTCTTCAATATTTGTCAAGTTAAGGGGAAATAACTTTGGCCTGATCCAGAAGTGGTTTGCCATTGCCTTCTTCTGTGTGTGAATGGAGTAATTGTTGGGATGCCACGGAGGAAAACTCCGTGTTGCCTAGACCACGGCCTTGCCCAACACAAGTTATAAATTCCAACCCGAGACCCCAGGATTACAAGGACCTTGTTACTACCGAGAATTAAATTGTTTGAAGACAGGTAAAGCTAGTGACACGCGTTATATTAAATCGTACACAAAAACATGGGATTATTTCTGTCATTAGACACAGACTCAGTATCCTTCCCTTTCTTACGTCCTTGGTAAATGTAGCAACAGTGGCAGTTGGTTTGTATTAATTAATAAGGATTTTTGGGACGCAGAGACTGTGCACGGATGGGAAGCCGTGGTGCGTAAAAGGCTTAGTTAGGATTACGCATTGCGTTGTGTTAAGGCATACGCGATCATTAGCAAGACGTGGGATTGCAGTGCTGCTGTTGTTTTGATTAAGATAATGGAGTTATGGAGAAATATGCGCATAAAAATGGAATGTCTTATATTGTGACACCATGTGTGCTCGGGAAGGTACCAGCTTGTGAGAGAAATATATTGTCTCCATATTCAACCCAGGAGGTGGAAACGGTATGTTTCTCTCCAACTTTCATAGTACCGCCCTGAATGTTGTGATCTTTAACTAGATCACAGTTCACCACCATAAATGAGAGGAAGATTTTCAACTTTTGCAGCAACCGGTTTCAACGAAGTTAACTTGGGTGATCTGCCATGTAAGTAAGTAAATTCAGCTCTGTGTAGTCTGTGCCTGCATAATGAAGGTTGATGTGTTGCGTTATATCAGACTGCCCATTGTATTTGTACTTGTGGTTGGCTCTCAGTTGTCTGTGAGAGATTTATAGTATCGTGTATGTATTTATTTCTCCTTTGCTAGGAGCTACTGAGCCAGATTACCATTTTCTTGAAAGGAGGACATGTTAAAGGACCTATACCATTATGCCACTGAACGTCACTATGTTTCATATAACATGCCAGTATGATTCTTTGAAAATTTTGTTCGGGAGCCATGTTTTTTTCAATACAAGGTTTTGGAATTTTCTGTGGTATAAATTCAAAAGATACGCGATCTTTCATGGTTTACATCATTTGCAGAATGTAAAATAATGTCTACTTCACTGTTATATTAACATTCCTACAAATATAAACGTTTACAAAATGGTAACGGCACGCACCTTCTAGGTTATGTCTGACGAATTCCATAATGGAATAGGCTTTCTAATGTAAATTACTAAAGACAGCCGAGTTTGTAATTAATAACATTTTAGGTTTCGCTGGATTCTAGTTTCAGACTGGAGCTTTAACAGGAAGTGCGTCATGGAATTTCTTTGTAATGAAAGCGGAAATTAATATTTCCACTCGACGGTGCAGCTCCACCAATGGTCTGCGGGCCTGAGTTGCAATCAGTACGACAGGCTACGCGCAGTCACACAGCAACGCGACTCCTTACCTGTCGGACGCAGGTAAGTACACATCGTGATTAGATTGTGATATATTTCCTACGACCTTAACATTTACCTGATTCAACAGCCAAACCAGTTTTACTGTTCACCGGCATTTGTTTCAAAGCCCATTCAGATTAATGTGAGTTGTAGTTGTAATCAACATTAACCAGAAATCTTGAAAATAATCAGTGTCGAAGATATTCCAGATTTAATACGAATATGTTCTAAGGTTACAGATTGTCTTCGCTTGCCTGCATGTAACTAGCACGAATGGAAAAAGGGAGTTTACATTAGTGGCACAGTTGGTAGGATAATGCCAACTGTTTGTGCTAATAAAATTAAACTTAAATAAATTAAAAGTACCCCATTTTGTAATCGCGATTCCAGACATTTTACATCATATGATGAACTGCAATTTAAAGTTTGTCTGTGTCCTCACTATTTGTAACTTTTAAGTATCTGTAGAAAATGCTATTAAGGCAACGTGACACTTTCAGAAATTTAATTTTTTGTAGGATACTGCACATGTTCCCGAAATGAAATGTTAGAAAACATTCCAGAGACCTTGACTGGCCTCATTATTTTCCTCCGTAGCAACACACAACTTTAAATAGGCATCTTTGGTTATATGTGTGTTCTTTATAAGTGGTGTTTCGGCAACCCCTTACACAAATAGCATCAGGGGTTGCCTAAATTACATTTTAATTATAAACAAGAGGAAAATAAGATGAGTAGATACTTATAATATCAGCTAAAGATATATTATTTATTAAAATTAATGAAAGTTTGAAAATAATTACATATAAATAATACGTATTATAATTTAATAAAATCATATATTTAAATTCATTTTAAGTTATTCGAATTTACTTTAAAATTTCAGTTGTACGAAATTATAAAAATAATAAAAATACATTGAATCCAATCTTAAAATAAATTTTGTACAAGCCACTGCCAGTGTTAGTGCCTTGAATTTAATTCACGATTAAATAAAATTTTCTATTTGTTGAATAATTCAGTTTCGTTGACACACGTCACAGACGAAACTCTTTTCATCTTGTCCTCTGTGACGGATTCTTGTCACACGGATCAGCACCCAACTTTCCAATTTTGCATTTTCATCCAAATTTAAGCGCTATTTTGACTTCTTAGCTTTGAAACTGATTGATGTTCCGGTCTCATATCACTGACATGAACAAATACATTGCTGTAAATTCCTGGACCCTCTGATGTCCCTTGTGTGTAACTTCGCTTTCAGAATCCCCCCCCCCCTCATCTAAACATATTTTCGTTGCAGATCCTCAACTCGTTCATTTAGAATCCCTTGGGGAGTTTGTTAAAAATTTAAATTTCCGCTAGCCAGATTTCTTTTTAAATAACACAGGCCAGATTCCATTAGAGTTGAATTCATTTGCTGCGTTGTTCAAAGTTACGGGCTCCTCTGTGTGCTTCAGCAAACGAATCAGTGACCGGAAATTACGTCACATTTTGATCAGAGTAACTCTGCAGTCACCTGATAACTGCTGTGTTATGAAACCCTTGGAAGTGTCAGAAGATACGGAGTATTAATACTCCATCCTTCCGTGCTATTTTGCTTATAACCAAATGTTTTGAATGCATGGAATATCTATCAAGAATAATGCAAATCTTTATTTCAATGTTGGTTTTCATGTGACGAACAAAACGCTGGATCATTTTCGCTAATACATTCCTGTTACTGTCTACTATGCCTCAGTTCACCAAACTTCCACGGGCAGCACCGGTAATCAGAGTAAGACGATTCCCTTGCCTTTTCAATGTCATCATAGAGGGCACAAAGTGAAACGATGCACTTGTAAACATACGAAATTCGTATCGACTCCTCGATCACCATTCGATGTCGCTACTACTCGATGCTTTCACACATTTGGGGATTATTCTGAATCTTGGTAGTTCTTTATTCAGCCAAAGTAGGCCCACAGATACGAAAAGCATGAATTCAGTTTCCATTCAATCGCTTTTATAAAATATCAAAAAAAGCTATGAAGCATTTTCCTCGTTAAAGCCTTTAATGCGAATAGTGGACACACTTTCTGACTGGATTACACTAAATTCAGTATTGTCTTTTTATATAATAGGACAGTAATCTTTTATTGCCAGCAAATTCCGTCTTGTGACTGAAAAGGTTATTCAGATGTGGACTGGCCTTTAAGGATTTGTGGGCTTAATTCTCTTTACCGAAATTTTTCCCAAAGCATTAACCGTATCTTGATGTTTCCAATATGTACACAGTTGTTTTACCATTCGAAGATGATAAATGCAAAATAAATAAATAAATAAAAACATTGCATAGAAAATGTGAAATTTTCCGAATCGCAAATTTCCATATTTTAATAAGCCTTTTTCATACGTTTAATTACAATGAAGCTGTTCAGATTTCTGAACTTATTAACAAGAGAGTCGAAGTGGAAATAGTATGATTAACTCCCTCATTGGTTAAAGCCGCCTGAGCACTTTAAACACGGTCCATACTATTGAAGCGCCTTTCGGTTTTTATTTCCAACTGATTTGGTTGGTAAGAAACAGATTTTCTTACGCGAAGAATGTGATTGAATTGGAAATAGTTCGCGGTTCTGCAAATAATGCCAACACATGTAGTATATTGCTCTCTGATCAATCCGGATTACATTATTTCCCCATCGAAACACGACAACTTGTCCTTTCGTAATTGAATCGTTTGAAAAATGACTCGAGCCCACCTTTTCAGAGAACTGAGCTGTTGCTACTACGAAAATTACGAGGTTTAAATGAATCATTTCCACATACAAAAACAAAAATCGCTTGTGTCGTCTGTTCTGTCTTATTTTCACGTCAAAATGACATGAGTCCGGGACTCGTGTTAATTTCGAGATAGATTTCGTTACAGAAATGACCAATCCAATTAAATATTCAATTTTACAAAGCGTGTTTGTACAAGGCAAGCAACATGAACCATGAAATTTCCACTAATGCATAATATATTTATATGACATTCTTATTTAAAATAGGTACAAACTGAGGAATGTTATGGAATAAAAGAATGGATTAAATAAAATTAACGTACTTACTAAAAATTGGATAGCCTAAGTAGTTTCTGTAAGTGGAACAATAATTATTCCGATAACGTCGGTCATAACCTCAAATCCTACTTAGTGCTACGTATTTCGTATTATAACCAAATTGTTAGTTATGTATTTTCAGACTTATGAAGAACAAGGGTATTCGTTTCGTGCTTACAATTTACCAGCCTTTTTCTTACACTCATTTGTTGTGGGTGTTTAAAAATACGTTGGTCGAGGTGGCTAAATTCGTCGTCTCTGATGTAAAGGTAACTGTATCATAATCTAAACCGAATGCTCGAAAGTATATGCTCATATCCGGTAGAACAGAATCTCAGAAGTAAAGTAACTTATAAATTTTTACAGGTAGCCCTCGATTTGCGCCAGTCCAATTTGTGCCGATTCAGAATAACGCCGATTTTGAATCCAGAAAGTCAAAAAGTGGGAAAAAATATATTTTAATATTATTTATGACGTTTTACAATGTGTCTCGTACTGATTCTTATACTAAATCGTAATTCATAAATCTCTGATTTTGAATAAAAATTATAAATAAAGTCATCTCTGCAATTACTTAAGTTTCGTTAACGCGAATTTGCTCCAATGAGATCGATGAATCGGAAAAAGCTGTTTCCTGGACCTTTAAACTTTCAAAGGGCTAATTTAATCTCTGCGGAGGTCCTGGGGTCATTTTTACTACGCGATTTTCTATAGGTCGGCGTCTTACATGAATGCAACTATCGCATAACAGCAGAGATGACTGTACACATCAATCACATGAAAGAAT